GTGTGTGTGTATATGTGAATTTAATAATATAATACAAAATTAATTAATAAAGAATAATAGGTAACACTTTATTTTAAGGTGTCCTATAATATAATATAATAATTAATTAATAAAGAATAATAGAACATTTACTATTATATACAATTAACAGTAATAAAATATATGTAATTATATGTACTTATAAAAATTAAATATTAAAATGGTTTATATCCTAAAGAATCAATATATATATTTATTGTATTAACATTTAGATATATATTTTTTTACATTTATTATCATCATAATACGTGATGTAATAAAGACAGTGTTAGATTTATAAATTTCATTTATGAGATGAAATGAAGATGACATTAAATTGTGAATAATAATTTCTAATGTCAACTTTATATATATATTAAAATTAACAACAAATTATTACTATACTTCTATATAATTAATATATATGTAATCATACATCATCACAATCATCACAATAAGTGTTCGCTTGATTAATTTAATTTTTAATGGAAGAGACAGTCTCTGTGTGGCCAGAGGCATGTGTGTGTGTGATTATTAGCCGGGGGCAACCTGCAGCAAATCTGTCCATGTCTTGGCGTTCTGGGGTTAATGTTAACCCGGTGTGTCGGGGCAGCGGTGGAATCTGGGTCAGGAGGAGTGCTGTCTGTGCTCTCTGCACTGCCGCAGACCGCCTCACTGCAGAGCAGAGCCTCCCCTCCAGCCACGTGACTCTGTCGTATGAAGCGGCAGCGGGGAGGAGAAGGGTGGGGTTGTATTCTTCTCTGGTTGGGTAGTAGTAGTAGTAGTGGAGGCGAAAGCACGTGGAGGCACATGCTGTCAAACGCTTGTGCACGAGTACTGCAGTGGGGAGGAAACAGTCCACTGCATTCACACCCATCATCTAAAACCCCTCTCGCTCGCTCTCTCAGAACAGCACGACTGTTATTAACTGAGATGAGGACACATTCTGCTAATAGTAACTGGGATTTCAGTTGTGCTCACTGAGATAATTTCCTATTTTAAATTTAGAAGCATGATTTTAGTTTTTTGGCCCACTTCAAATGTCCTTGTACTATTTGCCTTATGAACAATTATAGTCCTTTAGTCATAATAAACACTGCAATATATAAATTACATTTTTATCATCAAAATAAATGATGGTAATGAAAATACTGTGAGATTTAATTGATAAATTATGTGTTTATTATTTGTTATATATTTATAATTGATTAACAAGCAAAAATAAGAACAGGTTTTGTAATACATAATAAATCAATAATATTATATGTATTAATTTATTAAATATTAGTTTTAGAATGATAAATACATGTATTTATATAAGTTTTTTTAAAAATATAAAATTAATTAATCACACTTTATTTTAAGGTCCAATTTTCTGTATTAACTTACTATTAGCTACAACATTTGCAACAGCAAACTCATAATTTGCTGCTTATTAATAGTTAATAAACAGCCAATATGCTATTAAGATGCATGCTAGGAAATAATGAGAATTGGTCCTTAAAATATAATATAACCTTTTATCATTTATAACGTTATTATCATCACAGTGTTAGCCTTACCAATTTCATTTATTAATTTTATTTGACCATTTTTAAAAGCTTTGCATCTACCTAAACATCCCTAAAATCACTGTGATACTTGACCTCGAGTTACTTTTTGCTTTAATAGTTTGTCTATCTATAATTTGAATGTATATTTTGTAGAGCTGGAGATCAAATTACATTTGTAAACATTCAAGAAAGCTTATGAGGTTTTACCCTGTCAAACTGTTCCACTTTTGAGTTTAAATTTGTTTTTGAGTCACATCTCTTTTCCTAGTGCTGCACTCATGATTAATTTATTCAAGTTCTTTTAAGTCCTGTCGAGTACTCCTGTGCTCCGCTCCTATTGGCTGCCGGCACATTTTGGGTTGAAAAATATTTTTAGGCTCCATGGCAACAGCAGAATGTTCGGTCTCGCTCCTTAGCCAATAGGATTGCAGGGTGTGCATGCTGTAGTCAAATGAGCAGCCTCAGTTTAGATGGTACCATCCCCCCAATCTGAGGGGTGTAAAGCTGACGGGGGTGGGGGGGCTTAGGAGATTCAAGACAGATCAAGACAGCAGTGCTTATTCAGTCCCTTCGGTTCTTAAGTCCTGAATGCCAGGAGAACATGAGTACGCCAAGATATAAAGACAACACACCCCCTCTCACACTGCAGGATGCACTGTAGGTCAGTGAGACACTGTAGCGACCCATTTACCTACTTTCAAGGCTGTTCGTTTAGAGGAGAAACAAAGTCCTTCAAAGAAATAAAGAAAGTTTCTCTTCAGCTTGAACACGAAAGTCTGACCTTGGGCTTTGAGTGTATTGACATGCTGTTTAACTCTGAGGTCTGTCTGTTCTCTTGAGGATTTTCCTGATGTTATTTAATCTGTTGTAGGCAGTGACTCAGAGCTCAGAGCGGATGAATAAGAATGAGTATGTGCTCTTTTCAGGGAACATATGATTCTTACAACGATTTAACCCTCAGCCCAAAGGGAGGGGGACTTCAGAGTGTCGGTTTTGACCTATAGAAAGACTTTGACTGCTAGAGGGCGACATGATCCTGCAGTAGGACCCACCCATGAGTGCTGCAGTCCTACTGCATTCTCAGCAGCATGTGTGCTTTCACCTGCAGGCAAACTGGGTGCGTGTTCAGGAGGGTAATGCTGCAGCATTCGAGTCTCCCCTGATTTCCAGCACTGCCCCGAGCAGATGTTGCCTGCCACGCTCATACGTGTGGCCAGATGTTGCTGTCGGGAGCACAGGTGTCTCAGTTCTTGATGTGAACTGAGTTGACCTGAATGTGTTCTTGTATGGGCAAATCAAATGGTGTTTACACCTTCATTGACTTTCAAAGTGCAGCAAATCGCATGCAAAAACCATCATTCATAAAGTAGTTTGCATCACTTTTTCTTTTCATCTTGTCTTTTAGGTCTCTGACAGGTCGGGATGGGGAATCTGATCAAGGTTCTCACACGAGATATTGACAACAACGCAGGGAACTTTTTCCTGGACTTTGAAAGTAAGTGAATAAACAATCACAACCTGTATTATCTGATGTTGTGGGCTTGGAGAAATAGTACCTACTCACAATATATTTGCAGTAATTTTGCTGACTATATAAAATTAAACAACACTAGGAATATTATAATAATATTTTTTTTATTGTAAACAACATTGATAATTAGTAATTATATAGTATATAATTATATTAATATTATTAATTACTGTCAACTATTACTAATTACTATGAGTAACTATATATAATTAATTAATAATAATATTATTATTATCATCATAATAATTACTGTTACCAATTACTGTGATAATGATCATAATAATAATTTTTTTATTATAAATAACATTAATATTACAATAACATTCATATTAATATTATACATAACAATAATATTACTAAAGCAGTAATTATTTATTATTATGATTATACTAATATAATTGTATTTAAGTAATATTTATATTATAAATAATAATTATCATAATATAATATTAGAATGTCATATAAATGTTATTTTTATTATTATTATTTTTTAATAAATAACATGAATAATTATTAATATTACTAATATAACTAATAATTATTAATTACTATAACCATATATAATTAATTAATAGTATTTATTTTATTAATGATATGTATTAATAATAATTATTGATACTATTGGACTATTTAATAATAATAATAATGATAATAGCAATAATAATAATAATTATTATTATAAATTCTTAACTATATTTAATACGCTTTTATTATTTATAACTATATGTTTTTATTGTATTTAGCTTCTTGCATGTAAAAAGCAACAATGGTTGAAATGGCAGTTCCTCTAATAGGAAAAAACATAATTTCAAAAATAGTGTATAACCAAACATTTAAATTTATGGATACAAATATTTAAGCAATAACACTCCACCTCAAATCCAAGCAAAGACCTGAAATGCAGCAGCACATCAAAGACTGAACTGATTTCTCCTCTGCAGATGCCAAGCCCACAGAAGCTGAGAAGAGAGTATGGGAGAAGGTCAGTGAGGTGCTGACAGAGGCTGTGAGTGTATTACAGGACCTGCAGTCATATAGCGGAGCAGGTGAAACCATCAGGCAGGCGAGTACATCCATAATGCACTTCTCATGTTCTTCATCAGCCTGGGATTTATGTTACTTTGCATGACAAGCTCTCATTGTTTCTGTTTGTAAGGAATGTTGTGTTTATGCGTGTGCATGTTGTCTCCTCAGGCCATACAGCATCCCAATGATGAGCGTGTGCAAGAGAGCGCGTGGGCCGCTGTGGTCCCGCTGGTTGGCAAACTAAAGAAGTTTTATGAGTTCTCACTAAAACTGGGTATGTCGTTTTTCTCTTTGCATTAATGTGCACAGCACACAACACTATAAATAATAACATGTATGGCTATTTTTACCTAGAGGCATAGCTGATAAATGAGAGGACATTTTTAATGATCTACTCTCCCACAATTCCTCACAGGGATACATGGTCCACTGACCCATTTATCATATACTGTAGCATTAGCATCTGCTCTGGACTGTGTTTTGATTTTCAGTGAGGTGATTCTTCTTGAGGTTTAATTCATCAGTATTATCAAACACATTACTGTACCAGCACACACGTCAGCAGCCAGCAATAGTGAGATTATATAAGACTGGGCATTACTAAACTGTCCTTACATCAGCTCATATGCTCTTACTCATGTGCTTTTCTCATTTAAACAAATGTAATCAAAGAGGTCATGTTCTTCATCAGCCTGGGATTTATGTTACTTTGCATGACAAGCTCTCATTATTTCTGTTTGTAAGGAATGTTGTGTTTATGCGTGTGCATGTTGTCTCCTCAGGCCATACAGCATCCCAATGATGAGCGTGTGCAAGAGAGCGCGTGGGCCGCTGTGGTCCCGCTGGTTGGCAAACTAAAGAAGTTTTATGAGTTCTCACTAAAACTGGGTATGTCGTTTTTCTCTTTGCATTAATGTGCACAGCACACAACACTATAAATAATAACATGTATGGCTATTTTTACCTAGAGGCATAGCTGATAAATGAGAGGACATTTTTAATGATCTACTCTCCCACAATTCCTCACAGGGATATATGGTACACTGACCCACTTACCATATACTGTAGTATTAGCATCTGCTTTGGACTGTGTTTTGATTTTCAGAGATGATCCTTCTTGAAGCTTAATTCAGCAGTATGATTGAACACATTACTGTTGCAGCGCTCACGTCAGCAGTCGGCAATAGCGAGATTATATAAGACTAGGCATTACCAAACTGTCCTTACTCTTACGTCAGCTCATATGCTCTTACTCAAGCCTTTCTCAATTAAACAAATGTAACCAGAGAGCTGAAATCACCCTACTGTCATTCAGCTCTACACAAGTCAATATGTGGACTGTGTGCTATAATTAAGCAATGTCGTATAAGCAAGACTGCATTTGTAATAAATATAAGAACCCGAGCCTAAAGTTGAATCCCAGCTACATGACTTTGCACAACATATTTTGAAAATATTCTTGGGAAGTTGTATTTCTGTTCTGATTCAGTGCATGTTCCTAGGGAACAAGCCATAAACAGAGCAGCAGTGCGTCATAATTGGATTAGCATGCTCTTTGGGCAAGGCCAGTTTCTTTCACCACATCCAGCAAAAACACAGCTCTTGTCATCTCTAAAAGTGCACACCCCAGATTTACTGTACCTTAATGATAAATTCATTATCCTCAAAATAAATACATTTTCTGAAACATACAGAAACATTCAGAAGTTTAGAGTCTGTAAGATTTTATTTTATTATTATTTTTTTTTTAAAAGAAGTTTCTTATGCTCACCAAGGCACGATTTCATCAAAAATACAATAAAAACATTAATATTGTGAAGTACTATTACAATTTAAAAATGACTGTTTTCTGTTTTTCAGCAGTCATTACTCCAGTATTCAGTGTCACATGATCCTTCTGAAATCATTCTAATATGCTGATTTATTATCAATTATTAGCAATGTTGAAAATACTTGATACATCTTTATATGAAATTGTTTGCAACATTAAAAATGTCTTTACTGTCACTTTTGATGAATTTAATGCGTTTTAGATGAACAAAATATTAATGTCTTTCGGAAAAAAAAAAAAACGTACTGACCCCAAACTTACGGTAGCGTATGTTAGCTGTACCATACATATGTAGCTCAACTGATGTAGCAAGATTCTAATAAAGGCAAGCTTCTGAGTTTGATTTCTTAGTTTGACATGCATATTGATAAAACATATTTTGAATGCACTAAAAATCTGTCAACTGAGTACATGTGGCATGGATGTTACTATAGAAAGCATTTGGAAAATTCTACTATTATATTATCCAGTAAAATCCAAAGATTGATACTGTACTTGGTGCAGCAATGGGAAATACCATATTAACTCATTTGTTGTGCTAATCAGTCTTTGCAGAAATATTTTGTCTTATAATCTTGTATGTCTCAAAGTACAGTATGTTATATGCTCTGCGAAAAATGCGGTTGTTTTTACTTTTTATGCTCTCTGTCTGTGCTTGTAAGTCTGTGGGTTTGAGTGATTCAGATGGAGGGTTTGATGCTGAGAAATAGGTCATGACCTAATTAAACATGACATGGCCCTTAATCACACATCAACACCAGCCAATGGCAGCGCTCTCTGGAGGAGAGACTCTGGTGAAACATCAAAGGGTCAGACTGACCTAACATCTCTCTGTCAAACACACAGCTGTGTTCCTCTGCCAGACACTCTTTTTGTCAAAATAGAGCGACCATAACCCAGTATTATCCACCAAAAGCATTAGCAGTTCTGTTTCTTCTGTGTCTTGTGTAGAAGACGCTCTGCAGGGCCTGTTGGAGTTTCTCACCAGCTCGCGCTGCAGCCCAACTCAGCATCTGGAGCAGGAGCAAGCGCTGGCACAGCAGTTCGCTGAGATTTTGCATTTCACGCTGCGCTTCGATGAGCTGAAGGTAACCTGGCAACCTCAGGTCACACCCATTCTGCACATGTCCAATCTTTCTTGCTTCAAGATGGGCAAAATCAACAATTATGCAGAATGAGAGGATGTGGAGCAAAAGTGTTGTTAGTGGGACTCCAGCATCCTGTCTTTAATCTCAGACCTCCAAAAATCTGTAATTAACTCATCTGACCATTAAAAATCTGTAAATTATATTTATACTGGCAGTGATTATGCAATATCTTTTTAAACCGCAGGGGAAGGTATAAAAACACTTTCCATCTACCAATTTTTGTGCACATTTTTGGAATATCGCACAAAAAAATGCTGAATAGAAATGCCAAGATGTGCATAACTTCTAAAAAGCACATAAAAAGATAGAGATACATTTTTTATCCGGAAAAAATAATAATTGTGTAGACTCTATGATGGGATCACATTTACCAAATAAATTCCTCGATGCGCATAAAAAAAGTCATGTAACTTTGGACAATGGGATGGCATAACTGGACTAACCAGCAGACTGCTCTCATTACACAGCATCTGAAATGTTGTTTTGGTCATTCTGAAATGCCTGAGCCAAAGTCTGTTGTCAAAGTGGTTCAGTTTAACAACCTCCCAGAACTGTCTTACATGACTGCGCTCCCAAACAGCAAGCATCCGCCTCCAAAAGTAAGATAAAACATGACCACGTTTATTACGTTACGTCTGCGCGCTCTGAGGCTATGTAGTTTATTAAATACGAAAAAATTAAAAAAATAAATTTTATATTTGTAAATAGTTTAATTAGGGTTCAATTTAACACATTGTTGAAATAAATGCAAAATAGTTTTTAACACTTACTAAATTAAATTGCTAATGTGTCTAATTACAAAGCAAATACAAAGCCTGAATTAAAAATACAAATACATTGTCACTTTTTGTCACTGATTAAGTGATTAAATCAAATTTTTAAAATATTTTTTATGTAGTGCTGTCAAACTATTAATCACGCTTAATCACATCCAAAATAAGTTTTTGTTTACATAATATATATGTGTGTGTACTGTGTATATTATGTATATATAAATGCACACATATGCAAGTATATATTTCAGAAAAATATGCTATGTTTATATATTAAATATATTTTTATATAATATAAATATATACATGTAAATATTTTCAAAATATATACTGCGTGTGTGTATTTATATATACATAATATATGTGTGTACTGTGTATATTTTTATGTAAACAAAAACGTTTATTTTGGAAGCGATTAATCGTTTAACAGCACTAATTTTATGTGTAAATTTAATTAGGGCTGTCAGTTTAACAGTACAGTATGTTAAAAACATTAAAAATGAATGCATTTGATCACAAAATAAGCATTTATAAGACTAATTTCTGATGAAATGCAAAATACTTGTTATATTATACTAAATTAATGCGCTAAATAGATCATCCCAATTAAAAGCAAACTACATACAAATACAAACCTGATTAAAAATAAAATTATATAATATTCTCGTCTGTCTTTGTATGATACAGATGAAAGGATGCATTAAGGTTCTGCGGTATCAGCCGCCCAACAGTGTGGAGGGGCTTCTCAATGCCCTCAGGTCTGTGAGCTTTACTGGACGCTTACAGTATGATAGAAATACAGTATGAAAAAACCATGCAGTATGTAATGATTTGCATTGCATTTAAACATTCTCTCTTGACTCTCACAGGTACACAACTAAACATTTGAACGATGAGACTACCTCCAAGCAAATCAAAAACATGTTACAAGCTTGACTGTGTCTGCCAAAAGTATTACCTCTCGAATACATTGGACGAGATGCTTCAGCAGTTTTAGTAATACAATGAGAATAGCCATGTATCATGTGGCAGCTACTGTTATCAGTCTGTTTTTATTGTTGTAGTTTTGTTATTTACATCTTATCCTGTTAGACTTAGTCATGTGTGGACTTTAGATTTCAAAGACGCTTCTTTGCTGTGTGGCGTCCAACAAAGATGAGCTTCGTTCATTCCCTTCCCCTGTTTTCTACAGTTGACTGAGTACCTGAGTTTTTGAGGACCACAAAAATTTTATTGCTTTTTAAAATTACATAATTTACTGTGATTTTTATTAACATGACTCTTTTGAACTGAATAAAGCTATTTTAACCAAAAGGACTGAATGGCTGACAGCTCTTACAGTAAGGGCTTCTTCGAAACCGGCCACTGAAATCACCATGTACTCTCACCACTTTACTATGTACAAAATAATTAGTTCTAAACCCACATCCTTTTACCTAACAGAGTTCAGGATTATTCATATCCCGTGACAGTGTCTGCTCCAGCAAGTCATAATGTCCATTCATGGCTGTATTCCCATTCTTTTGCTTTTTGGAGCCAGAAATAAACAAACATGTGGTTGAAATTTAGCCCTGTTATGAGTTAACATTTCTTCAACTTTCCCCCAGAAACCAAAACCAGAATGTTCAGAAATTCCAGGCTGTCCATTTGATGGTCAGCTGACTCTGGTGGATTAGTCAGGAGAATGAGATTCCCACATCATCCAGCCTAGGAATTGGGAGTTTGTTCTACAGAACAATGGGGAAGTCGTGGCCTAATGGTTAGAGAGTCGGACTCATAACCCAAAGGTTGTGGGTTCGAGTCTCGTACCGGCAGGGATTGTAGGTGGGGGGAGGGAATGTACAGCGCTCTCTCCCACCTTCAATACCACGACTGAGGTGCCCTTGAGCAAGGCACCGAACCCCCAACTGCTCCCCGGGCGCCGCAGCATAAATTGCTGCCCACTGCTCCGGGTGTGTGTTCACGGTTTGTGTGTGTTCACTGCTGTGTGTGTGCACTTTGGATGGGTAAATGCAACTCGCCCTCATGTAGTATGGGTCATGAGTAATACATTCCTTGCTCCGACACACTGTGGAGTTTTTGATCTCGGGCTCGCTGGGAGCGCGCGGGACACCCCTCCCAGTTTGTATTACCATCCTATCTGCTCTGTACCTGTGACCTCCGCCGTGTTTTTTTCTCACTCAACGGCTCGCACACAGTTTGCTCCTGTTTGTCTGGCTGCTCAGCGTGTGTCATCAGCAAGCGCATACTTTCCCCACTGCGGAGTGTGGGATTCTTGCCCCTGCTGTCCTTTCTCCTCGTCGGAAGCACACTGTTTTTTTAATGGCTATCCTGATGAGCTCGGACACTTTTCCCAGGAGGCTGGTGTGGGGCCATATTCTTGTCTATTTACTTGTTCCTCTCTGTGCTCTGTGAGAAGAGCAACTTCTGATGACTTCCTGCCAATAACTCCGCGTGTGCGACCCATAATTCCAGAGCACTACCTCACCGTATGCCCGCTGTAATGTAGACCAAACACCATATGTTCATTAGATTTCCCACTGCTGTCTGGATTCTGACTTCACAACAAGTTAGTAAAAACAAGCACAAAGAGACAAAAGAGTATGTCAATGCTAGTTTGTTTTTGACAATACATGCATATTCATAGGATTTAGCCATCTTCTGGACCTTGTACTTAAAGGGATAGTTCACCCAAAAATGAAAATTGTGTCATTAATTACTCGCCCTCATGTTGTTCCAAACCTGTAAGACATTCATTTATCTTCGGAACACAAATTAACATATTTTTGATGAAATCCGAGAGCTTTTTGACCCTGCATAAACAGCAATGCAACTACCACGATCAAGGCCCAGAAAGATAGTAAGGACACTGTTAAAATAGTTCATGTGACATCAGTGATTCAACCTTAATTTTATGACGCTACAATAATATTTTTTGTGCATAAAGAAAACAAAAATAATGACTTTATTCAACTATTCTCTTCCGTGTCAGTCTCTGCTGCATGTTCGCGAGAGTACCATGATGCATGCGTGTGATGTGCTGCACCTTGTTTACAAGCAGAAGAAGAGACACACTGTACAGTCTTCGTAAACATGAGTTAAAAAGAGGAAGGGTTGTTGTTGCTGGTTACTGTATGATGATTAAAATCGCGAAATGCCCTTAAAAACAATTAAATAAATTGCAGAATGTTATGTTTTCTAATACACGCAGGAATTGCACGTGTTCAAACAGCGGCAGGGTTCAGAGTCCAAAGCGCGAGGGAAATCTGCGCTGAAACTTTTACTTGTAAGCTGCTCAGTAAAATGTGATTGAATTTTTACAAGGCATGCGACAATGCTATACGTGCAACAAACGTCCTCCAAAATTCGTAATGAGAATCATTTGTCAACAAAAAGAAGCACCGAGGTCTTCCTGCGGGTTTCTGCCAAAATAACAGTTGAGAAAATGCAAGAACTCAATCAACATTAATACATGTTATTGTAATTTTACTGTTGTTCTGTAAAATAATAATTTCTACAGCTCTATTAATACATTTATTGTAACATTTACACATAGTGTTCAGACTAGGAGCTAGGAACCGTATTCGGCCTTCAGCCCAGTGTTTCATTTTGTTCGGCTTCGGCCAAGAATAAACTATACCTTTAACCCAGGCCTGCTCACTTATTGAAGAGGCGAGTTCCACCCTTGGCTGACAGCACAAATAGTAGTACTTATATGTTTAAATTATTCTACAAACCAAAACGCTGAATTAAAATGCTAAGTCAGACCTTAAATGATAATATGACGATAATGAAAATAGCTTGTGGGCACTAGATTTATTAATATGAGACATTTATATGAACTGTTATATTAAAAATTTATCAAGTACAGTAATATAAAACTAAATACATTTGTTATTATTATACATTTTACATTTGTTAGAATTATACATTATACATTTGTATTATTATACATTTAATAACAAAAAATAATGATTTAATTATAAAAAGAATAACAATTAGTAATAATAAATTACTACTGATGAAATTTATAATAATAACAGTAGCATTTTCCCCATTCAAGAAACATTTCCAGCATTTGGATACATTGCCTGCCTGCCTTTTATCAGTGATCCAGAAGCATTTATACAAAAATACAGCATTTATATCAAGTGCACTCCCTCGGATGTGGAAGGTTTCTGACCTTAAATGGATGGAAGAATTTGAGACTTGGAAGAAAAATTTGGAATGTTTGCTCTCCTCTGAGATTCATTCTGAATCTCACAACATGTAAAAGTTAAATAATGTTGGAACTGAAATGGAAAAATGAAGCTGGAAACTAATGCCATTTTAATGTTTGGACTGTGAGTCAGTCAGATATGAGAGCACTAGCACTGTTGGATTTGGTGTATTTTAGCACACGCCTACATCCTGTTATGGGAAGCATGTTTTTGGACTTATCTCTGCTGTGACCCCACAGCTATAGCTCACATTCTGACGTCTTCTATTGTTTCCCTGTAGTGTGTTTATGCCATATACTGATTATCATTGGAGAACCGATGGCATGAATAAGTGCAGCCTTGAATCTGCAGATGGCAGCAGTAACTTCTGAGATGCTGTAAATCAATATGGTGACCCAACATACAGATTATGATAGAGGAAGAACACCATAAGAGTCCTGTCTTACACCTACACATCTGATCTTGGAGTCAAGATGCAACAGGTCCATCTGTTTTAATGAATTGTTGAGCCACGAACGCAGCAGATGCTGTCAATGTTAACGGAAGGACCCTCAGCATGAAAAGACCGCTTACAAGGAGGGCTTCCTGATGGGACGTCCGCTCTTATGTCCCTAAGGTCTACTCAAAGACATTTTTCAACAGCAAGAACAAAAGACCATACAAGAAAAGACTAATTAAGCGTGCTTTTACATTTTCCTTACCACTTTTGTTTGTGATCAGGTAGTTTGTTCTCACTTATGTTTGTTCTCGGAAATCATCAGCACCTGAAAGCATCATCAAAATGAGAATTCTTGGGTGAACTGTTGCTTTAAGAGAGTTGTTCAGAGATCCGCTGGTGTTTAAGGTGCTCTGAGCTGCACCGTGGGTGGGATCGGGCTGCAGGATGGTGGCAGTGGTCCAGCTGTCTTTTGTGTAATCATATTACTGTAATTAGGTAGTGTACTCCCTAATCCACTTCAGTCAAAACACTGGCCTGTGTCTGACTCACCCTTATGCCTCTGTCATCAATTACCAACAGGCAGATTCTCTTCTTCCGTGGCTCTAACTCATGAATTCTGTGTGTGGATTAAGGGTTAGGCCCATGTATCATGCTATTTTCATCTCCCAATAGAATGTCTCTTTGGGTGTAAGCATACAAACGGCTCATTATGTCTCATTATTCATGAATATTGTATAGGGTGTGGATACTTTCTCCATAGGTTGACTGGTAAATAATTAGAGATTATAATAAACATTTAACATGGAAGAAATTGATTTTGAAAAACAAATACATTTAATTTGTGCCATTGTGTGACTCTGGTTTTCAATCTCAAGGGTATTTGGCTGAATGTCTTTAGGTGTGTCAAAGTTCTCTGGGGTTAGAGTTTATGTGTGAGGCCTGCAGGTGGAGCAACAGCACTAGCTTATGCACCACCTATAGATAAAGCTTTAATTCAGAGACTATATGAATGTATATGTACTCCGTTTGCTCAGTTGATACACTAGAAGACTTGGTCTTTGTGTATGGATTCTCAGAGAGACAAAGAGGCTAGAGGACAAACTCTGACCTTGTGAGAGAAGATGAGGTTAAATCACCGAGTCTCTCATTCTACATCAAGTCTCTGTTATGATCTATAATGATCAATCATCTCCAATGATTTCACATTAACTGGCCTAGTCTGAAATTCTCTTTTCATTTGTCTGTATGAAAGGGGTAGGATAAAACTGATGCTGAGTTTATGGTTGCACGGCACTTCCTATTTGTGCTTAGATCAAAATAAATGAGAGCCATTTATCTTTATCTCATCTGTTTATCTAACCTGATTTGCATCTATCTTATCTTCAATGAAATGCCAAAAGCAATTAATGTTAAGTTCTATGTCATGTATATTACAAAAAAATAAATGATATATATATTGAATTGCATACACTACAATTCAAAGTTTTGTGGTGTTTAAAAAAATAATGGCATTTATTAAGCAAGGATGCATTCAGTTGATCAAAATAAAATGTTTTACATAATTGCTGTATTTTGAACTTTCTACTCACCAAAAAATCATGAAAAAATGTATCATGGTGTCCACAAAAATATTAAGCAGCACAATTTTTAACACTGATGATAAAATAGATTAGAAAGGATCACGTAACAGTATATTTTAAAATATATATATAAAAAACAACAGTTATTTTAAAATGGAATATTTCACAATATTACTGTTTTTACTGCATAATATATACATGTTATAACATATAATTGTATATATACTAATCATTTTTTAAAGGAAAAACTGATTTTACATAATTCAGTCAATTTCTTATAAAAGCTGCTGATTGTGTTATTAAAATGTTGGGTTGGGT